GTGTATAATAGACCTGGTGGCGATGCATACGTGTCGACTCCCGTAATCCCCGCCATGCCTGATACATCCGTCACCGAAGCTCTGCCCCACCGCCGACGCTGCGCCATGAGAAGAGCTCAGGGCCTCAAAACCCAGTGCAGTTTACGCAAGACTGGAGGGATACAGCGATCTGCGTATTGACGGTCAGCCCACTTCCGGTTTCAACACGAGGGATTGAGGCTGACCTTCGGTGCCCTCGGCGACTCTCATGCCAGCCAGGTGGTCAGCCCCGAGCAACTGTTCGCCTCCTCAGAGCGGAGTCTGAACATGCCAGCCCCAGACCCATATAACATCCTCTCCCGCCGAACATCCTCTCTCTTCAGAACCACCACATTCGGTGAGCCTTCCCCTTCCCCTCACCACGCGATCGTCGCTCATCCTCGTTTACAGTGGTGGGAGGTCTGGCTGTCCCTCGAAGGTACGTCTCCCATCGTCCTCTCCTACGCCCATCCCAACCCACCTCCCGCCACAGAGTGGCACGGCGGACTTCTCGGCAGGCGGCATGCGAACCTCCCCCGCAAGGGGAAGGGGGTACATATCCCAGACCCATGTGCCCCGACTCGCCCTCAGAGAATCCTGCCTGCCGCGCGGACCGTGTCCGGGTCGCTCGCGTCACTGGTGTCAGTGCGCGGCGGCACGTCGACCTCCGTTTGAGTCGGTACAGGGGACCGAGGGGGCCTCGATGGGGTGCGCCGAGACGAGAGTACCTGGACCGGCCCTGGTCGTTCGCCTCGTGCGGCGTCCGGGGCTTGAGGGGGCCGTCGGGTGACTGGCGGCTGCCCGAGGGACGGGGAAGCGCAATGTGGTCAAAGACTAATGCCCCCCGGACGCGTTGGGGCGACCGACGGTCCGCGGGGTAGGTGGCGGCGTACGCGCCGGGTGGCCGGGCTCGTACGTGCTCGGGCGCGGGCTCGTCGCCACTCGGTGTCGCGTCGCTACGCGGGGGATGGAGGTTGTGACTGTGCGTGCACTTTCTCTCTCCTTCTACGGTGTGCGACTCGACGTAGAGGCTGACCGCGTTAAGAGCTTGCAGACTTCCATCCCCCGGGTTCGGGGGCGTGACGTCTGTTGCGCTCCCCGATTCAAGAAGCCCCCCGAGGAAGGGTCGGCCTCTGCTGCGTTTGCGGTTGGAGGCCGGTCCTGGCGCAGGCCTCTTCGTGGCCCTCGGGACTAGTACCGCTTCGTGCGGGAAGCCAACTGCGCCGAAGCCTCTGGTGGCTACTTCTCCACCATTTCTTATGACTCGAATTTTTTTGTGACATCATGTACTATCAGACGTCGTGATATCTAACGATGCGTGGTATGAAGCGTTTCGTATGTGCGTTCCCAGAACGAAAGTCCTCGTCGGGGAATCGAACCGCCGACCCCGCGGCAACTCCGGCGACATCTGAGGCGGCCCAGGCCCCTTTCTCTCTTCTCGACGCTCACGACATCCGAATTTCGAAAGTCACCGGTGCGCAGCGACGTGGACGGCGTCCTGTCCCACTAGACCGAACGGGTCGCCGAAGCAAGGGAAGAGTGAGCGGGTCATTCGACCTCGGGCTGACGGAAGTCCTGTCGCCCGGCAGTCACACAAGAGGCTGAATTTGTCCTGCCACGCAGCTCTTCCCGCACAATGCTGGCGCTCTTGACTCGGGCATCTGGTTTGCCTCGGTGCATGCCCGTCAGTGGGAGAGCACCGACAGAGTTCGCCACTATGGCATCGTCAGCGTCGGCCTCGCTCGAGGTGAGTATATGAATCCTTCGTCAGACGGTGATTCCCTCACCCACATCTACCACTCCCTTCAACCAGCCTTGCCAATCACCTCTTTGCGCTCGAGATGGCCGCTTTTGCTCAACCTCCTCCCCCAGCAACAAACCTCGGCCGCCACCGCCCCCTCGCCCCTTCCTGCGGTCTCCATGTGTCACCCCTCCAGCTGGGTGCGATGAGCATCGGCGACAAGTGGGCGGAGTTCGGGATGGGCGCGATGGACAAAGAGTCGAGCTTCAAGCTCCTGGACGCGTTCTACGAGGCCGGCGGGAACTTCATTGACACCGCATCTAACTACCAAGACGAAACGTCTGAGAAATTCATCGGGGAGTGGATGGAGGCTCGCGGGATCCGCACGCAAATGGTCGTCGCTACGAAGGTGAGCGGAGTGCCCTCTGTACGCATGTGTCGTTTCTGACGCGTCGGGTGTCTGCAGTACTCGATGAATGGAAAGCGCGGCCGGACGGACATCAAACAGCACACGGCCTGGGCGGGCAACAGCTTTAAGACGATGCGCGTCACCATCGACGAGGCGCTTGAGAAGCTACGGACCTCCTACATCGACATCCTCTACGTCCACTTTGTACGCTTCTCGTTTCACGGCTACCATATCACCGTGAATGGTAGCTGACAGCCATCACGCACAGTGGGATTACACGACCCCGATCGAGGAGGTCATGGACGGCCTCCACCAGCTGGTGATGTCCGGCAAGGTCCTCTACCTCGGGATCTCCGACACGCCGGCGTGGATCGTCAGCTCCGCGAACAGGTACGCGCGCATGGCGCACAAGACGCCCTTCGTCGTCTACCAGGGCGAGTGGAACGTGTTTGAGCGCACGTTTGAGCGGGATATCATCCCGCTCGCGCGGCACGAGGGCATGGCGCTCGCGCCGTGGAACGTCCTCGCAGGCGGCAAGATCCGCACGGACGCGGAGGAGCACGCGCGCATCGACAGCGGCGAGGGTGGGCGCGAGTCGTTTGGGCCGTGGTTGCGGAACGAGCACGAGAAGGCGGTGGCGAAGGTCCTGGAGGAAGTCGCAAAGGATGTCGGAACCGACTCGATTCAGGCCGGTGAGTGCAATCCGTCTTCGCTACGGGCTCTTGCGAAGACTAACGCGTTCTGTCACCCACCACAGTCGCGATTGCGTACGTGATGCAGAAGACCCCCTACGTATTTCCTGTTATCGGCGGGCGCAAGGTGAAGCACCTGCACGACAACATCAAGGCGCTCTCGATCGCGCTCTCGGACGAGCACATTAAGATGATTGAGACTGCTTCGCCTTTCGACAAGGGGACAATGTACAATGTCTTCGTGCGCCTTGATCTGCATCGTCAAAGCTTCTCATGCTGATTGTTGCTGTCGTAGGGCGATGGGTCCGACTACGGCTTTTTTCACAAGTATGCTGGTCATTTCGATCGTTGGCCGACTGCCCCGGCCCTCAGCCCGAACGCGCACTAGTGTTCTCCCCTTCTAGAGTCTTTGTAAAGCGTTGGTAGTTCGATTCTCGCATGTATGATCCTCGCACCCATAACACGTTGCGTTGTAGTCGAAATTTCATGCCGCCATTACACAACTCCCCAGCACACCTCGAGTTTATTTACAGAGCGGTACGCCTACAGAAACTTCGGCGCAGTTGGCTTCCCGCACGAAGCGGTACTAGTCCCGAGGGCCACGAAGAGGCCTGCGCCAGGACCGGCCTCCAACCGCAAACGCAGCAGAGGCCGACCCTTCCTCGGGGGGCTTCTTGAATCGGGGAGCGCAACAGACGTCACGCCCCCGAAACCCGGGGGTGGAGGTCTGCGAGCTCTTGACACTGTCAGCCTCTGCGTCTCGCACACCGTGGAAGGAGAGAAAAAGAGAAAGTGCACGCACAGTCACAACCTCCGTCCCCGCGTAGCGACGCGACACCGAGCGGCGACGAGCCCGCGCCCGAGCACGTACGAGCCCGGCCACCCGGCGCGTACGCCGCCACCTACCCGCGGACTGTCGGGTCGCCCCAACGCGTTGGGTCTGGGATATGTACCCCCTTCCCCTTACGGGGGAGGTTCGCATGCCGCCTGCCGAGAAGTCCGCCGTGCCACTCTGTGGCGGGAGGTGGGTTAGGATGCGCGTAGGAGGGGACGATGGGAGACGTACCTTGGAGGGACAGCCAGACCTCCCACCGCTGTAAGCGAGGATGAGTGACGATAGCGCGGCGAGGGGAAGGGGAAGGCTCACCGAATGTGGTGGTTCTGAAGAGAGAGGATGTTCGGCGGGAGGGGACGTTATATGGGTCTATGGCTGGCACGTTCAGACTCCGCTCTGAGGAGGCGAACAGTTGCTCGGGGCTGACCACCTGGCTGGCATGAGAGTCGCCGAGGGCACCGAAGGTCAGCCTCGATCTCGCATGTTGGGTGGTCGGTTGGTGAAGCTTGAATGCGGTCAACGTGCAATCACTCTCGTCTACATTCTCTAGTACTACAGTTGAAGACCAGAGTAGAAGTACAACCTGCAAGGTGACAGACACGCGTCAGGAAGTCGAAGGACAACTGGCTGGCCAGGAACTGAGCATACATGCATTTGGGGAAAATGTGCTGCTTTCCGAGCTCATATTCCTCAGCTCCTCAGCTCGTGCTGGCGATTGTCTCGAATCCCTGCGGTGCGCTGGTGACGTGATGATGGTGGTGGGTGGTAACAGGGAGAGCGCTAAACGGTGCCTCTCTCAACCAATACTATGATCATCTCGCCCCATTCATTCGCCGCCCATCACACTCAGAGCCCTGCCGTCCCTGCACACCGTTTCCCTCGTCGTATGCCTCGTGCAAGGCGCAACATGTTCAAGCTTCAGCCCATCTCAAATACCATCTCAATGTTATGCCGGACGCCATGCCGGTACGGCTCTGATTCGTCCCCACCCAGCTTCCACACAACCTGTCTCTGTTTCCTATGAAGAATGCGCTCGAACGAGAGGCTAGCTCTCGTGTGGAAATGGCTGTAGTTAGAGGGTCCACCTGCGTGTCATCTGATCAGTATGTCCTCTCGAATGTCCTGTGCGCTGCCCTCCTCCCCATTTCCCCACCTGCACTGCGCGTGCAGCATCGCAGACATCCCTAAAAAGTGGCTTTCTGTTATACGACGAGGTTGGACGCTGGGATGGATGGCTTTGCTATCTCCGCGGGGAGGTGCGGGCAGAGATAGGGTCGCGTCGGTACATCAGATGGCGAGTACACCAACCTCATGTCCTCTGTTGACGCATCCGTCATTCTCCTATACTCCGTGGTTCCATGGATCCCACCAACAGTGTCTCCGCGGCGTTCATCAACATAGTGTCTCCGCGGTGTTTATGAATCATATGCAAATTCCTGCGCGAGTTTCAGATGGAGGTGCGTACACAAGTCGCACGAGCTGCGCTGAACGAATGCTTTGACTAGATGTGCACTGACGGGGCGCCGCTTCATCGTCGACCAAAGGTCACCTGGAGTGCGACGACGCCCTGTTACATCCCAAGAATCTCTGCCTGGGCGAATTGACGAAATAATGTGTTCTATAAGGCCGTTTCGACGATACAAAGGGTCTAGGCAGGATTCCCGGTTGCCATGCTTTTCGTCATACTTACACATACGAAAACGTTCGGCACGAACCTCCGGTAAGCGATTGAATATATGACAGGACTCCGCAGTAGAGCAGAGCGAGAACGCTGGCACGATTCGCATTCTACCCATCCGTGCCCGGCCGGGTTGAAATACGAATATGCAGTACCTAGTCCAGTGGATCCCTCGGGCGGCATTCCACGCGTGCGCCGTCAAAATCATGATGGACTCCGAGGTCCAAGGAAGCATGGTAACTACCCACTGTAGGCTCCAAGGCTGAAGTATTTACAATCGCCATCACAGCTTGTTATCGAATGTGTCCCTTGGTACGTGCGTGTGCGCACGGCAAGCTCCCCGACTAATCACACCTTACTCTCTAGCTCCTCGGTGTCCGCACCGCTCAAGAAATGTTCACGTTGTGAATGGTCGGGGCAAGTTGCCGCAGCCAGTCTTGGCGTGTGCGAACCCCACACTTCCTCTCGGTCGGTGCCGCCAGATGACTGATCTCGGAGACACTAGCGAAGGGGTAGTCGCACGTGTTACTGTGTCGCCCGAGCCTGTCGTCTCGCTCACTCGCTTTGTGCAGATACAGCCTGACGGTCGATGACACCAGAAATGCACTATCATAATTCTTGCACCCAAACTGGTATATTCGGTCACCTTTGCATGCCACCATGATGGACCAGCACCGCCCCCTGCCGACTATTAGGTGTGCTATTTGACGCAATGGAATTTCGGTAAACCGATATCTCCATCTGGCAGTTCCGGCATCCTAGGATCTAGCTTAGCCACGCCCCGTACCGACGCTCGGCCCCCACTCGGCTGCTCTGGAATTTCCGGTATCGGGCATCGTCTGCGTGTATAAATTGCTCAAGTTCGTCCTGTCGCTTTCAACAGCTCACCCAACTACCATCTCAGCTTTCATCATCACTTCAGCATCGATGTCCAACCCCTGGGCCCAGCCTCCCCACCCCGCGACCAACCTCGGCCGCCACCGCCCCCTCGCCCCTGCGTGCGGCCTGCACGTCTCGCCCCTCCAGCTCGGTGCGATGAGCATCGGCGACAAGTGGGCTGACTTCGGGATGGGCGCGATGGACAAGGAGTCTTCGTTCAAGCTCCTCGATGCGTTCTACGCGGCAGGCGGGAACTTCATCGACACGGCATCGAACTACCAGGATGAGACGTCTGAGCAGTTCATCGGAGAGTGGATGGAGACGCGCGGGATCCGCACGCAGATGGTTATCGCTACCAAGGTGGGTTGTATCCTCTGCACATGGGAACACGGCTGACGTACTGACGGCCTACAGTACTCGACGAACGCCAAGCGCGGGCGGACGGACATTAAGCAGCACACGGCTTGGGCTGGCAACAGCTTCAAGACGATGCGCGTCACCGTCGATGAGGCTCTCGAGAAGCTACGCACGTCGTACATCGACCTCCTCTACGTCCACTGGGTGCGTCTCTCCCAAGTTCGGTGTGCACGCCCCTCCGTCACGTTCACTGACAATTTGACTCCCCAGTGGGACTACACGACCCCGATCGAAGAGGTCATGGACGGCCTCCACCAGCTGGTGATGTCCGGCAAGGTCCTCTACCTTGGGATCTCCGACACCCCCGCGTGGATCGTCAGCTCTGCGAACCGGTACGCGCGCATGGCGCACAAGACGCCCTTCGTCGTCTACGAGGGCGAGTGGAACGTGTTCGAGCGCACGTTCGAGCGGGACATCATCCCAATGGCGCGGCACGAGGGCATGGCGCTCGCGCCGTGGAACGTCCTCGCGGGCGGCAAGGTCCGCACGGACGCGGAGGAGCAGGCGCGCGTCGACTCGGGCGAGGGCGGGCGCGCGATGCTCGGCGGGTGGCTGCGGAGCGACGGGGAGAGGGCGGTGTGCGCGGTGCTCGAGGCGGTCGCGAAGGAGGTCGGCACGGACTCGGTCCAGGCGGGTGAGTCGCGGCTGCGGCGGGTGCCGTGCGGGGTTCTGCAGAGGCTGACGGCTTGTGCGCGGGGCGCTGCGCAGTGGCGATCGCGTACGTGATGCAGAAGACGCCATACGTGTTCCCCATCATCGGCGGGCGCAAGGTCGAGCACCTCCTGGGGAACGTTAAGGCGCTCGACATCGCGCTCACGGACGAGCACATCCGGCGCATCGAGGCGGCTTCGCCCTTTGACAAGGGCTCGCTGTACAACGCCTTCGTGAGTTCCCCTCCCTGGGACCTGGGTCAGACCGTCGCATGGCTTATCGTTGTTCCCGTAGGGCGACGGCTCGGATTATGGCTTCTTCCACAAGTACGCCGGCCACTTCGACCGCTGGCCGCCTGCCCAGGCCATCCGCCCGAAGACTCAGTAGAATGCATCCGCATGTTGGCGTGGGTGGGCGCAGGCCACATGCGCGGGTCTCCGCACGGCGCATACGCTGTCAGCTCTGAATGCATGCGGTGTAAGTATACGCATTTCCCGTCAGAAGCGTGCCTCGGCCAGGCGCTTAGGGATGTTAGACTCGTATTGTTTCCAATCAACCATGACGTGATCCATTTGTTCTATTTGCGTTAGAAAATCCACGAGGCCCTTCGAGAAAGGCAGGCCGGTCCCGACGAGACTACTAACCGCTCCCGGCGTGCGGGAGGCCAACGTGTGCCAAGGTAGGCTTCAGCTGGTGGCCGTGCTTAGCACACAACTCCTTCTTGGAACAACATTGTTATTTGTCAGACACAGTAGTGATAGCACTGTGGACGATGAGACTTTGATTTACAAGACTGAGTGGTGAGTGGGTGCAACAAAAACGCCACCATCCAGGGATCCCGCCGCCGGCTCCGACGGAAGGTGCCTCCGGACTAGTAGCGGTTCAACTTACTGCGCCTTCGGGCGGAGAGCCGGGGCAGTCGGCCAGC